GTGCCCCAAGTTTATATGGCAAACTATATACAAACTTGCGACACTTTTATTGGAAATATTCCGAAGGGACACTTCAGTTTGAACAAAAATTAAGTTTCATTATTATTCTCAACCATTCTTATATAATCATTTTGTTGATAAAATAATGAAAATGAATTTCATTTTACTGAATGGTTACTAATTAGTAGACAATCAATACATGTGTATTTGTGACAATATATTTTAGAAATTTATTCATAAAATAATACTGATTTTGTAAAGATTGATTTCTAAAGATATGTGACAGTTCAGCTTAAAAGTGTATGCATAAACTAGGTCAGATTCTCATATCAAAGAACGTGAGAAGTGAATAAATTTATTCTCAAAAAAACTATTTTGAGAACGACCTGTAGTCGATTATTTTAAGAGTTTCCCCTGTGTAAAAATATGGTTCAATCAGCCGGCTAATTTGAGATGTTTTGATTGTTTATATGTGATGCAAACCAGCGATGCAAATCGGTTTGACATTTCGGTATATCGAATTGGTTTCATTTGTGTATTGAACGAAATGGAGCAAGTGGAACATTCCGAAAATGGTTTGTATGGCGAACATACATTCACGATATGTATACTTGAATATCGATGCTTTGAATGTATGAGTGTACAACGTTGCTGCTATGCACACAGTTCAGGGCATCGCAAACTTCGATTTGTAGTAGAAACCATTTTTCGAACGTTCCGAGGTTCAAGTGAAACCAAAAAAAAATGTTTGGTTTCGGTTTGTATCGCTGCTTCAAACAAAATAAGACGATTTTTGTCGATTATATACAACTTTGCATTCAGTCGACTAACTTCCGAAAATTTCCAACTATGGTGATCTGAAAATTTGTGTGAAAACCAATCAACTTCGATCATTTTAAATAGATTTTTATAGTCGTTTTAAATCATTTACACTAAACTGTAAGTCATTTTTTGCACATGGATGGTTAAAATTGAAAATTCTTATGTGATGTTTGATATATTTTTTATCCATATTTTATGTTATTTTTGTTGAAATTGCTGCCATTCGCTAAAACTATCGAAAAATGTTTGTTTTTCGGTGGTTCTTATCCAAGATGACATAAATTGAGATGGAAAACGCAATGTAAATCTCAAAATTTACACATTTGTACCATATATGAAACAAATTTTGTTTTAAGGTTGTTCTTGAATTTTTTGTTTGTTTGTTCATTTCTAGCTTCGTGTTTCGTCCAACATTGAGATAAATTATGTTTACAAAATAGCAATGCATTAGTATATATGAATGTAGCTCTATAGAGCTACTATAGATATACCTATATAAGTAAACGCCAATTTATGTCGATTGAATTTGAATATGTGTGTGCGGTTTCATTTGTACAGATTGCTTTGTACTGATTCGTTGCACTTTTCCTTTTAATACTCGTATGTGGTGTCAAATGCAAACGAAATCCACTGACTTGAACAAAAATCGACATACATCACACAAATGTGCAGCCGATGTTAAAACAAAGTCAAAAACTAACCAATTCAATTGGAATTGACAAAGCAAAAGAGAATAAGAAACTCCGAAATGGAAATAACACGACAATTCAGCAAGCGAAGAAGATATGATGGAAGGAATTGCATGAATTTCATTGTTTAGTTTTAGTATTCGATACACACATTGTTTGTATGTGTCTGATTTTCTAATTCAATCGAAACCAACAAGTTCTGCATGGTTGGGAATTCGAACGTTGACTTAAAACAGAAATGCAAATGAATTATATGCACATTGAGATGAGAATCGGCCAAGATGAAGAATGTATGTTGTTTCGATTTCAGATATATGTGTTGAGCTCGAGGGCAATGGATTTTGGTTACTTGTAAAATGGAAAAGCTTCACCAATATTGACACAAAAGGACCATTCTTATTTGTGGCATAATAATATTATGTCTACACTGACCGAGAGCATGAAAGAAAATTGATTCATTGGCAGGCAAAGATACAAGTGACACAAGAATTTTCTGCCATTTGATTCAAACAAATCGGTTGCATTTTTATCGAGCTCATTCAATGAAAATGTATATACGTAATGCCATTCATTCGTCTTTTTTATAATCACAAAGTCATGCCAAACAATTGAATGTTGCTATAGGAGTTTCCATGCAAAGAACAATCATGGGAACGGACGAATGTCACTCAATGTAGCAGCTGTAGAAACGGTCGTTTTTAATTCAAAACCCGATAATGCACGTTGCCACCCGAAAAACAATAAGATTTATTGTCTGTCGTTTTATGTGCACACAGCGCAACATATTGACATCGTTCCCTCGAGCTTCCTTTTCTATATGTCACTGTATATTTTATATTGAAATGTATTCGAATTGCAGAGTGCATCTGTGAAAAAGAGAAAAAGACTGAGCTGCCGATCGGTTGATGTCGTCGCCCATTACGTCAATAATGTTATTTGTGCACATTGACCAAACAAAACATACGTATCAGTTCGTGCCAACGCATTTCGTCAACGAAAAGAAATAATAGAGAGAAAAAAGGGCAATTACAATGGCGTGGCAACAGTTGATGGCGTTGCTCATCTCTCAAACAACAAATACCATTATCATGTCTTAGTGCGGCTCAAAATGCATTTCTGTGATGGATTCTCGTATTGTGTCACCAATATTTTCCGGCTGACGATCAGTTCGTTTGTGCATTTATTTTCGAATCCCACACAATCTATTTACTTTTGCCTTTAACTTGACTGTCACAGTGTTCAAATAAGGTTCCCTTGTCGACTTTTAATTTTCGATCCATTGTTTGGACTTTCATTGAAAACCACAAAAAATATTTGTTCGTTGCGTTGTTGATCGTGTGAAATGGAATTGTATATCTCTATTGACTTTGGAATCGACTACATGGCCAATGCATTTTGAACACAAGACTCGAAAAATGGCCGTATTATTGGAAATGCGTTTTTATTCCACAACAAATGGTATAAGCATAAAGACGGTTTTTATTTCGCTGTTGATTTCATTGCATTTCTAATTTAGCTTAATAGATGCTATTCTATCAAATTCGCATAAGAACCAAATGAAATTTAAATTTTGTTATTGTATAAATAAATGAAGAATGTATTCGATTTGTGGCTAACGGAGAGATGAATGAAATTTATCGATTATTGTCCAGTATTTCATTCTTATTTAGTCATGACACTTCGTTTCACTGTTTTTTGGATATTCTTTCTTTATTGTGTATAAAAAACGGTGGCTGCAAATACAATGAATTGCTTTCTAAATTGGAAGCCCAATTGGTGTGGCACAAACGAAGCAAGCATATAAAATTATGACGAATAAATGTTGATGGGTTTGTCATTTAGAAGCAAATATGCATATTATATATTTTTGGTATTCTATATATGAAAGAAAACTTTATATCTCTCTTTGTTCATTCTAAAAACAACAGACGAAAATATTTCGAAACAAACTTGCATTCCCCTCTGCTTTACGGTTTCTGGTCTCTGTCGTATGCTCTTGCTTTCTTTGTATCTGTGTTAATGTATCCAATTCTGTTTTGTGTATGCTTTTTAAAAAGCGACAAAAATATGTTCATTTGCAACATTCTTCACGTATTCATGCGGTGTATATATCTTTTAATACTGACGTCAAATTTTTTCTCGTTCACTACAACAACAACAATGGCAATATTACAAGAAAATCCTATTGGAAAAATGCTAAAGTGCAAAACAAATGAAAGAAAAAATGAAGAAAAATCCGGCGTTCTGCTGAATTATTTGAATTTGCTTAGTTTGCATGCACAGCGTGGATAAATGTTCACTTTTCAACCGTATGGCATACGAACTAAAGAGAAAAAAAATGTTCATTTGAATATAAAAGAGAGCGCGTATATATAATCGAAATGTTAAAGAAGCAACCATGGTAAAATCTTTATATTTCCAGGGATTAAATTCATGAGAAAATGAAAAATGCGAAAAAGAAAAGCAGAAAAATTGTGACAATACTTTTGAAATTTTTGGCTCCACGAACGCACGTCGCATTTCACTTTTGAGCTAAGCTCAGACATCTTGGTTGTTTCTTTTTTTCTTTTTGTCTGATGCGACTATATGAAAATGTTTACTTGATGTGGATGCGGTTTTATGACAATAAATATGTTTTCGTCTTCATGTGATATTGTTTTTATCACTTTGCTTACAAATGAATTTATGAATGAAATGATGAAATGTTTTTTCTTGATATTCCCATGCGAGCCGTAATATTCCGGGCGTTGCAAAATTTTCTTGCCGTTCTTTATACCTGAGTCACATTATATCCATGCAAATAGTAATTGTACGTGTTGAAAAGATTCTTTCGCCATTTACTATTCACTCTATTCTGTCCGCGAATGTACGGTATGCGTACGCTTATGGCAAGACTTTCTTTCTCTTTCACTCTTAAACAAATAAACATGTGAAATGTTCCGAATATTCAAATTGTTCCGGTGAAATATTATTTCTTTCCGCATTTAGTTTTGTTATTGCTTTTGATGCGAAATTTTAGATAGAATTATTCTCCATATATGCAAACTTTTGTCGTTCTTGTATCTCTGCCTCTTTCATTGTTCCTCTTATCTGTTAACAAGCACAGATCAGATGTGAAAACGGGAAAAATTATAGTAAATTTCCGTTGAACAAAACATATAATCTGAATGTTTTTACCGTTAAGCAAACACTTTTTTGGTGTATGCATCGTCAAAAATGAATTACTGAGAATCTGGGGAATTGTTTGCTCATTGGTGAATATGAGCCCAATCGTCAAGAGTATGAGTGAAAGATGAAAAAAATTTAAATAAAAAATTATGACAAATGAATTTACGTATCACGTTTTCATTCGTTACGATTAGCTCATTCATTTCAATGAGGGCTCATTAAGGTAGGAAGTGAAATAGAATCATTCAATATCATTTTTCAATTTAATAATGCCATCGTCTACTTCAACATGTTTAATTTTACGTTGGTAGAAATTGTTACCTGATATCCTTTCAGCTCTCGAGATTTTCAGATGTTTGAGTCAAGTACCGTGTTGTATTTTATCTGAAAAAGTAAAGAAATGTTTAAATTATTATATTATTATAACTATTGCCAGTATTATATGTATTAAGTCGTTTTATGATTTTCATATCTACACCGAAAACAAATGGAGACACCGTTCACAAATTTTGTTTGCACATGAAATCAAATATATTTCATATCAAAGAGAGAGAGAGAGAACCCAAGATAGACACACAAAACCTTTTTCACGGCTTACAAACATCACGGTTTGTAAAAACAGCTTGCCTAAAGTGGGTGATAACTGGGCATATACTCCATAAAGAAATTCATTTTGTACATTGTTAGTTCGGTGACGAGACAAAATAAATAAAATGGAGTTAAATCGCGATTTCTTCAGTGTTAACATTGCATTTAAAAGCATCACTCTATAACATTATTATTCTAGACCTTATGATTTTAATTTACTTTAAATACGGAAAATTTGCATTAACGAAAGCAAAATTCCAATCAAAAATATATTGATTGAAATAGAGTTTAATAAACCTAATTCTAAAAATTATCACATTAATCATGAACTGATTCAAACCATGAAAATGCATAGGTTGAACTTTTTAGCAAATTATTATTGCAATAATAATAAAATCATTAAAAAGATAGTATTTATCAATCAATTAATTAAAAAAAAAAAACAATTATACACAACCGCAAAATAAATTGAGCAGATTATTTCATATATGTGTTCATGCTTTTTAGTTGGTGCTGCTGATATTTTTTTATTGTTCATCATCGATTTTATCAAAATAAATTTGAATTAATAAAGTTGAAATTCATTAAATAAATTGGATAAATTCACTTGGATTAATTAATATGGGAAGCGTGCTCTAATCGAATTTCTGAATTCACACATTTACATGGACTAAACATAGAAAAATGAGCATTGGATATGGTAATACGCATGCACGTCTAATGTAAAAATTACTGAATATATACATTGTACACATCGAAGGATGGAGTTATGTTTGCACGTGTCCTAAAAAAATCTACCACTATGTAAAATGTAAATGTCTATGGAGCGACTTGATACCTTTTTTGTAACAATTTAATTGACTGGATCAGAAGAAAAGAACACGTGATGAAATCAGATTATTACAATTTTGCGATTGCTTCGTTCATTCAAAAGTTTCAGTGGAGGCGGTCAAAGTGGGTTGGCCAAAAGTGAAAAAATCATCTAAAATCGAGGAAAATCGTAGTTTAAAATTTGCAAACCGGCTCAGAATTGGATGCTCTGTCGATTTCTGGCATAAAAAAGATAGGTTGATCACATGTTTTTTCGAGATAAATTACGATTTTCTTCGATTTTCGATGATTTTTTTCACTTTTGGTCAACCCACTTTGACCGTCTCCACTGAAACTTTTTTTTAATTTTTTTTCGTGATATTCTCAAGAGGACCGAAAGACCTTTCCAACAAGCCAATAATCAAAAATGCCTTTTGAAAAACACCGCTGTGGTGACCGTTCTTGGAAATGGATCAGAACACAGAAAATTCTGACCCTAAGGGGCCGAGGTCTGTAACCCCACTAAAACAGCCGATTTGGGAAAAGTGCTCATACACTTTTTTACTCCTCTTGAGCTGAAAAATCTGTGGTAGAAAGATTAGCATGGAATTGTGAAACACTCTGTATGTTTGCATGAGTATTTGAAAACAGAACGGTTCTCTTCTCTATCATAATTGTTGATTCTGTTTGCACTCCAACATGTTTCTCGTGGCCTTACTCTGTTGAACAGAATGTGTTCTTTATTTATTCCTAGCTCATTCTCACAAAGATATTGAACAAATGTCGTGGAGTCAAATGATGTGTTGAAGGGCTTATCGAGTGAGGCATACACACGAGAAAATGTTTTTTTTACTGATAAAACCACAGGTCTCCCCATATCACATTGTTCATTTTGTGAAATATGAAATATGTTTTTACAAAAGTTTGTTTATTTTGTCGTGCATTGGTTTTGTAGACGTTGTTTATATTTAAGCCCCTTGATGTCGGTAACAACAACGGTATTAATCTATAGAAATAAACCTCAAAATAACGCGACGATACGCAGTTTCAGTCTCTTAAAGTGGATTGAAAGATTGAAACCAAAAAGTTTTATTTTTAACTTGATTCTTAACAATTCACAACAAAATTTGGTAATTGCAGCTTCTATGCTAGATTTTTTTCTTTGAGTTGAGTGTAAATTATTCTATCATTTAACACATTTTATTGAATTAAATCGAAAACGAATGGAGAATTATTTTCACTTGATTTCATGTATTCATTTCTTAACAGCGACAATTTTTTGTATTTCTTTTTATTTAAACATCGGCAATGCTAATTGGAAGCAGCAACATAATTATACAATATACAAGGATAATTAACACAAGTGAATTTCATAGCAATCAGGGAGCAGAAAACACGAAACGACGATACACATAATCATCGTGATTATTATTAACCAAAGCGCGTAGGTTCAATGCATACGCGTATCTCGCGAACGGATAAAACAATATAAAACGATCTGCGAAGAAATTAATTAAAATGAAATTGTATCCCATCGCACAAATAACATAAACAGTGTCGAAAGAGAAAGAGAAAATCTGAACACTGAACCTACAAACAATGTCGAGATAAATAATAACAATGTGCAATGTAAATGGTATTCTCGAAAATTCATAAAGAATATGTTTTTGTTTTAGAGCGTAAGCAAGAGAACATGAGTATAATGTGTGATGCACACACAAGGCACACATATGTATCAAATGCATATTTGGCTTAATGAAGCGGAAATGATTTGATTGAAAATAACAATGTTTTATAAAACGTACGCTTTGTATCTTGAAGAAAGAAAAATTACTACTAGTTTAGGTATACCTATCTATAGATTCCACGGTTCTGTAGTAAATTATAGTCTTTAGTCATACTAACATTATTTGTTTCAGTACGCCGTTGCATAAAAGTAAACAAGAAAAATGAGCATTACTTGGAGCATTACATTCATCAGTATGACGGCTAGAAAAGAATCTTGTGCGCGTTCAGCTTTCTGCTGAATTCTCAAGTGACGAGAAAAAATCTTCTCCAAATTGATTAAGTAATATTGAAAAAAATGCAAAACAAAACAGTAATTAAAGCATGATAAATTGAAGTGACAAAAAAACGATTCTGAGACAAAGTGCACACGGGGGAATCGAATTGATGAACCAAATTAAAAGAGAGCGTATGCATTGAATTTTAAATGCATATTTAGTATTTGTTTATGGAAATAAATTACACATCATTTATGCTTGTTTATGCTAATGACAACACAGTGAAAAATAAACGCTCACACAGATCATTGAAATTTAAAACGCGATTCTCTTGATGCACACTTTTTTATGTTTCGATTTTCGTTTGACATTGCCGTTGCGAACGAACTGAAGTGAGTGCATGCAAATCAACTGTAAAAATGCAGTACAGTGAGATCATTTGGTGCATTCACACACAGACGTTCGCGCATAAATTTTAATTTAACGAAACCACAAGGACAACAAACCATAAAAAAACACAGCATGTAAACAAAAATGAACGCACATGATAAATTTATAGGCAAATTAAATGACTATTCATAATTTTGGGTGTACTTTGGACTGATTCACCCTGATGCTATTGAAATGCTGAACGAACAAATGTGCTCACACCAAACGCTGTTCGATTAAATCGAATTTCATTCTCAAGCGTTCAGTTCGAAGTGTAACGAAAAATTTGGTACGGCTGTTACACCACATTGATGTTGCGTATAGTGGCGACAATGCTGTGAACGTGGCTTGCATCAAAATGTATTCGTATTACCCAGATGTCATATTATTCAATCGATTTTTTCTGTTTACCTCTCTCTCTCTCTCTTTCTCTCTCTCTCTCTCTCTCTCTCTCTCTCTATGCGCATTCTTTTCAGTACCCCGACATATTCAACCGATGCAATAAACGTTTCATTTTCTCGATTCAGTTTTATCTTTCACACAACTGTCGATTTGCAACTGTGTTTGCGTAATGAATGAAATTCGGATATGGTCGCATCGAATATGCAACCAGATAACTGAAGTTAAGCTAATATTCAAAATGCATTTCCGATTTTATGCGGCAATGGTTTTCGAATCACTGCACTAAAATATTGCATCAGTATAATACACAGAACCATCAATACAGCGAAATATACGAAATACAAAATTATCCTAGAAATTATTTCGAGCATTTTGACCATTTGAGTATTTAATTAAATCGAGTTCAGATTCACTAAAATTGACATTTTGCCCCTTTCATATTCATTTTATGCAACAAACATTTCGAAACAAAAATATTATTTGTGAATAATTTCGAATGTCTTGTATGGTATTGAAAACAAAAATGGCAAGTCCCCCTTTTAAATATTTTAAATATTATATTACCCATCGAAACGCTGTAACAGTAATCGTTGTCTGTAGATACAGCAATAAATCTTAATAATTATCAGAAATGAAAATTGGCTTTGATTAATTGGTAAATCACACAAAAAAAAAATATTTTATAGGGGCGATATCATTACTTCGTTACTTATGTAGTTTTTTGGACACCGATTTCCTGATTTGATAGTTATTAAATGAGTATATTTGGAACTATGAATAAACAAAATTCATGATGGCTAAAAGTAGCTAAGTATGACTTGAGTCTAAAAATTTAGAAAAAGTTTTCTATATGATATTGATTTCAAGTAAATTTACAAATAAATGGCAACCTGAGATGATTCCGCTCATATGTGTTCGTTTTTTCCAGCAATTTTAGCCAGAGTGTGAATTAATTCAATCTGCTGGTAGTTTTAACCTACAAAATGCTCGTTTTAATTATATTTTGTAGCCATTGCTGCACGAGTCAAATACACACAGGCAGAAAAATAGAGAGAAAGGGAGTGAATGAGATAGAAACGCAAAATGTGTTTTGAGTCAATCGTCCGTTGAAATTTCAGTTTCTACCACATCTCCTCTCCATATCCGTGTGTT